TACGGTTCATAATAAAATACAACACACATTGAATTGTACTGTAGAAAGAGAGCGAGAGATACCATTGGCATTGGTCGGGTCTCCCCCCACCTTGTCACAACAACAATACCGTCACTCTCGATGACGACGCCATTGTCACCGGACAGCTGCGTACGGGCGCGCACGTGACCGTACGGTACGGTTCCGGAGGTGCGGCCACCGGTGGCGGTGGTGGCGGCGCTGACGCCACCTGCGAGGCCACGATCGCCAAAATACTGGATCAGTCGCTCTATACAGTGGTGTTCGACGACGGCGATGAGGCGACGCTCAAGAGGAATAGCCTGTGTCTGAAGAGTGGCAAACACTTTGCCGAAAGCGAGACGTTGGATCAGTTGCCGCTCACGAATCCCGAACATTTTGGTAATCCTGTGTCGTTGGGTAAGTGTCTGTTCCCTATCTGTCACAACACTACCACCACTTGTGTCACATTACAAGTGTGTCTATTCTCTACCACTACTTCTAGTGGTAGACGTGTTGTGATAATAACTCGCATTTTAACGCATGTCTTATGTTTAATCATCACTTTTATCGGTTCCATTAGGCCGTCGACGGCGGCGACGACACCACAACAACTCGGACTCGGATGACGACGAGGCGGACGACCGGTCCGTAACCGATAGCCACCGGTCATCGAAACGAGGCGGCGGTAGTGGTGGCGGACCACCTGTGCTGACGCCCAGCGAACGGGACACCGACTGGGGTCGAGTGGTATGCGTGGACTACTCGGACAAACGGGGCTCCAAGAAGGACGTGTGGTTCCCGGCGCTGATAGTGGCGCCCACCGCACAACAGCCCACCGCCAAAGTGGCCAGAGATGAGCATTTGGTCCGCAGCTTTCGCGACGGCAGGTTCTATAAGGTGCCCAAACGCGAGACCAGAGAGTTCGCCCGAGAGCTGGTCTTATCCAAGAGTGAGGCCAACTCTGTGGCCCTCAGGAGCGCTGTGGAGAAAGCGGTGACTTTCGTGGACAAACAGGATTTGCCCAATGGCTGGGATTATGATCTACTGCTCGGCAATACTGTGCCGCAGGTATGTGTGTCCACCCGTTTTGCGGGACTTTTTTGTTGTTTATTGTGTACCGAATGGTTACCCTATTTGTTATGCGCTAAATGGTGTGTAAAATGATTGGAGATTTTTATGTTATTTTTTATACCATTTGTTTGTTTGTTAAAAATAATAGTGTAATTAATGGCTATATTTATATCTCAAATATGTTTCTCACATCTCATTTGATGACTCTCTGCCTATACTTATAGTTCCCAATTGTAAGCCATATAACGTATGGTAAACATTAGGCTTATGGTTGAAAATATCGCAATTATTTTTGAATTTCATTAGTAGTGCTGAGAGTCTGCGCTCCCGGAGCACTCTCGCAGTCTCTCTCTCTCTCTCTCTCTCTCTCTCTCT